GGGTTAAATACTTATTTTGTCTAAAAGAAAAGGAATAATAAGCGTTACTTATCTTACAGCTTGCTCCTACAGGCTTTCCCCCATTGTCCCACGAGAAACCGCTCCTCTTCACTACTTGACGTTATCATGTAAAATGGAGGACCAGCAGTACTACATCGTATGTGAGAACGTTGAGGGCCCACCAACATACTGAGAGCAAGTGGGGGGCTGAGGAGCAAGGTGCTTATTCCGTTCCTACTACACAAAAAGAGCATTTAACCCTACAGCACAGAGAGAGGGGCGAGCATTGTAAAGTGAATGTTTACAGCTGCGTGGAGGTCAGAAAAGAAAGTGATAAAGAAACATCAATGTTACACTTTGGTGATGCAACCTCTTTCCCTGCTGTCCTAGACACCTGCCTACAGGGGTATTCTGGTAAATAGAACCCTACGTTTTGCACAGTCTGTACTGAAATCCAGTAGGAAGGAATACATGGGGATCATCGGTACACATGGGGCAGGGGAGCTGAAGTTTGCGATAAAGCTCTAACTGCGAAAGGGAGGCAAAGCTCTTGAAGGCAATCAGGTGTTTTGCAGTCCTCCGGCAGGCTACTCGCTGCTGTTCGGTCTATTCTTATAGATGCCGAACAATAGTGAGTGAATAGCCGAATGCCGCTGAAAACGATTGTGCGGAGCTAGCAGTGACAGCTAGCTCCGCCCAACTGTTTTCTATTGGCAGGTGGTTCTGCTGCCATCAGAAAAAAAAAACACATTTCGCCATAGGAATGCATTGCTAGCTTCCTATTGGCTAATTCAATTTACAATAGCCAATAGCAAACTAGCTATTGTACCCACCCTCTGCTGCTGTCAATCACTAGTGTGGACCTGATGGAGAACTGCAGCAGAGGGCGGGTACAATAGCTAGTTTGCTATTGGCTATTGCAAATAGACCGTACTGTGAATAGCCCGTACTACTGAACCAAAGGGGTCCTGGGGCCGAAGCTTGCCGAAGGATCGGCCTAAGCTACGGCTAGATCCTTCGGCTGCTTCGTGAATAGACTCCCAGGTCTTCAGGAACAATGTGCTGTGGACTGATGAACGGCAGATAAAACTGTTTGCCCACAGCATCAGTAGATGTGTTTGGCACAAACCAAAGTCAGCATTTTAGGAGAAGAACCTCATTCCAAACATGAAACATGATGTTATGTGGGATTGCTTTGCTGCTTCAGAGCCTGGGCAGCTTGCAGACAAAGATGCTGTTAGAAACTGCTGGGCAGTTATGTAAAACACCTACAAGAAATCATTTCACAATCAACTTCTGAGGCCAAGGGTGTACTTTTTTTTTTTTTTTTACAGAACACCATTACTTCTATTGATATTTTGTAGAAAAAAAAATATTGAAAAGTAAACTTTTCCTTGTATATCTGTAGTCACTGTTTCAATATTTTGAAGTCAATCATTTCCATGGGGTGTACTTACTTTTTCACATGAATTTATTTATGGCCACCTCTAGGACCTGCTTGCAGTTTGCCAACTCAGCAGTATGACATGTTTACCAATATATCACCCTTCTCCCCTGCTGACCGTGCAACCTCCACACAACAAGAAAGTGCAGGTGTGTCAAATGGCACATCTCCCAAAGAGAAAGGGCCCTTCCCTGACCCCCTGGGGTGCATGGCTACTGACAGGGGCAAGGCACTTGTGTCCACCTGGCCGAGACCAGGTGGACCCATTCATCATGATCAGCGGAAGCCGACCACCGAGTACTAGGTTGGGGGCTCCCCTGAAGAGAGACCCTGTTTCAGGGGAGGAAGGAACCTGATGACCACACATCCTTCCCCTAAACTTCAGAGTAGGCCCGAAGACCCACACCCTTTATCCTTGTGGAGTGAAAAAAGGCACACACATAAAAAGTGAAGAAAATAAATAGGTGCCAATGTATAAAAAAATGATCCCTGGGCTGTTTAACACAAAACATGCAACACCTTCCTAGTGCACATATTATTGATTTTAACACTGACATTACAGCACTGGACACACTTCTAGCTACTCATGTAAACTGGGAAATAGTATTTATTAAAACATTAGTTTCATAAGGTTCTTGTAAGGTTCATGAGGTCGTTGTATTTCCAAAACAATGGTAGATTAGTGGGGTTTTAGATTCACGCACTTCTGGAAGTGAATTTAGATAACACAGCGGCACCTCCTATATGAAAATATCATTTGTTATCTTGCATTATGGTTAAATGACACCAGTATTATAAAGTTGACCAGCAGGGGGCAGCCAATAGCAGCAAATCACAAAATGAAGCACAGCGGTTCTTTTGTTACAACATAATAAATGGTTTCAGCAACAATTGTGTTGCCAGGTCACTACCTGACTTGGGTCTTCTCTGAAATTGAGGTGCAGTATCCCATAGCAATGTATTTTATAGTTTTGTAGGTTTGCATTAGAATTAATGCTGCATTATACAGTATAAAGTATAACCATGAAGGTTATTGTAAGGACTAAGGGCTTGTTTACACCAATTGAGGTGCGTTTTTAGAGCGGTAGATGCTGGAACGCACAGCAATCGCTCACTAAACTTCCCCCTGCGTTCTGGGGCGGCCAACTGCACTTCCAGAATAATATAATGGAAAGATTTGCATGAATGAGTAATAATCCTCTTTTGGGATATGTGATGGACATATGAATACCTTCTGTTCTAAGAGTCCTCTGCTGTGCTATGCACTGGTTCAGTTGGAGGGCTTTTGGTTCCTCTAGGGCCCATTCACACCAATTGTGGTGCGTTCCAGAGTGGTAGCTGCTGGAACGCACAGCAATCGCTCACTAAACTTCCCCCTGCGTTCTGGGGCGGGAGGGGGCGTTCCGTTGAATTGAATCTATGGCACCACAGCCACACACCCCTGCCCGCAGTGCGATCAGACGCGTGGCAAAACATTGCCTGCGTTCCAGACCACTGCTAACGCAAAAAAAATAGAGCATGCAGCACTCTTTTGCGTTTGCAGTGGAACGGAACGCAGTCAATGTTTTGCCACGCGTCCTATCGCCCTGTGGGCAGGGGGAGTAGCTGTGGTGTCATTGACTTCAGTGCACCGCCACACCCCCTCCCGCCCCAGAACGAAGGGGGAAGTTTAGTGAGCGATTGCTGTGCGTTCCAGCAGCTACCACTCTGGAACGCACCACAATTGGTGTTAATGGGCCCTAGAGGAACCAAAAGCCCTCCAACTGAACCAGTGCATAGCACAGCAGAGGACTCTTAGAACAGAAGGTATTCATATGTCCATCACATATCCCAAAAGAGGATTATTACTCATTCATGCAAATCTTTCCATTATATTATTCTGGAAGTGCAGTTGGCCATTGGGATGTAAGGGCATGGTTTGCATGGTGCAGCCCACTATCCTGCAATAGGGAGTAATCCTCTTTTTATTTGGGATATGAATGAGACGTCAATACCCTCTGTGCTGAGGCTCTACTCTACAAGAACATATAGTAAGGTATGTGCAGTCAGCAGCAGTCCTCTAGTGACAATTTATATGACCTGTGAATTGCACATATTGAGAGGAATTGTGCTGCTGCAACAAAGAGCTTTATAATGTTTGTGATTTGGTATATTCCATGTACTCCCCCCCCCACCCCCAATATTTTACATATTTAAATCTTACCACTGTAAACGCTGCAATCGTTCTTTCCAGTATAGCGTCTTCTATGTCTGCAGGGATTGGTCGAAGGTTACTCACACACTGCAAAATGCACAAGATTGTTTGATGCTGACCCTGTAATTAAAATGAGGAAACATAAGGACATGGAAATGCAAAGTTACATTTTAAATGCTCAAGAGAAAAAAACATATAGTAGAGATTTTCTTGCTACAATCTAGCCAGTGCCGACATCAATGTCACGCAAAGCAAAACATATGCAATATAATATGCATGGTACATAACATAAATAATCATTTCCAAAAAGTACTTAAAGCAAAAGAATCATTTTTACACCTGAAATCCATTGATATATATAGGGCCCTGTTGCCCAACCTGCGGCCCTTGAGTCCCCAGTAGTGGGAATGGGAGCACTGATTTGCGAAGGGCAGTCCAGTCTCTTACTGTCTCCTACAGCAGGTATTCAGTCTCCAACAAGACCAGTAGCATGTCTGCAGTCGCCTGATACTACTAGACCATTTCCTCCAATATGTCTGCTGTCTCTGATCATTTCCTATAGTATGTTTATAGTCTCTGACCATTTCCTCTAGTATGTCTGCTGTCTCTGACCATATCCTCCATATGTGTGCAGTCTCTGACCATTTCCTCTAGTATGTTTATAGTCTCTGACTATTTCCTCTAGTACGTCTGCAGTCTCTGACCATTTCCTCTAGTACGTCTGCAGTCTCTGACCATTTCCTCTAGTACGTCTGCAGTATCTGACCATTTCCTCTAGTACGTCTGCAGTCTCTGACCATCTCCTCTAGTGTTTCTGCAGTCTCTGACTATTTGCTCTAATGTCTGCAGTCTCTGACCATTTCCTCTAATGTCTGCAATCTCTGACCATTTCTTCTACTATGTCTGCAGTCTTTAGAACAGAAGGTATTCATATGTCCATCACATATCCCAAAAGAGGATTATTACTCATTCATGCAAATCTTTCCATTATATTATTCTGGAAGTGCAGTTGGCCATTGGGATGTAAGGGCATGGTTTGCATGGTGCAGCCCACTATCCTGCAATAGGGAGTAATCCTCTTTTTATTTGGGATATGAATGAGACGTCAATACCCTCTGTGCTGAGGCTCTACTCTACAAGAACATATAGTAAGGTATGTGCAGTCAGCAGCAGTCCTCTAGTGACAATTTATATGACCTGTGAATTGCACATATTGAGAGGAATTGTGCTGCTGCAACAAAGAGCTTTATAATGTTTGTGATTTGGTATATTCCATGTACTCCCCCCCCCACCCCCAATATTTTACATATTTAAATCTTACCACTGTAAACGCTGCAATCGTTCTTTCCAGTATAGCGTCTTCTATGTCTGCAGGGATTGGTCGAAGGTTACTCACACACTGCAAAATGCACAAGATTGTTTGATGCTGACCCTGTAATTAAAATGAGGAAACATAAGGACATGGAAATGCAAAGTTACATTTTAAATGCTCAAGAGAAAAAAACATATAGTAGAGATTTTCTTGCTACAATCTAGCCAGTGCCGACATCAATGTCACGCAAAGCAAAACATATGCAATATAATATGCATGGTACATAACATAAATAATCATTTCCAAAAAGTACTTAAAGCAAAAGAATCATTTTTACACCTGAAATCCATTGATATATATAGGGCCCTGTTGCCCAACCTGCGGCCCTTGAGTCCCCAGTAGTGGGAATGGGAGCACTGATTTGCGAAGGGCAGTCCAGTCTCTTACTGTCTCCTACAGCAGGTATTCAGTCTCCAACAAGACCAGTAGCATGTCTGCAGTCGCCTGATACTACTAGACCATTTCCTCCAATATGTCTGCTGTCTCTGATCATTTCCTATAGTATGTTTATAGTCTCTGACCATTTCCTCTAGTATGTCTGCTGTCTCTGACCATATCCTCCATATGTGTGCAGTCTCTGACCATTTCCTCTAGTATGTTTATAGTCTCTGACTATTTCCTCTAGTACGTCTGCAGTCTCTGACCATTTCCTCTAGTACGTCTGCAGTCTCTGACCATTTCCTCTAGTACGTCTGCAGTATCTGACCATTTCCTCTAGTACGTCTGCAGTCTCTGACCATCTCCTCTAGTGTTTCTGCAGTCTCTGACTATTTGCTCTAATGTCTGCAGTCTCTGACCATTTCCTCTAATGTCTGCAATCTCTGACCATTTCTTCTACTATGTCTGCAGTCTCTGACCATTTCTTCTACTATGTCTGCAGTCTCTGACCATTTTCTCTGATGTCTGCAGTCTCTGACCATTTCTTCTAAAGTCTGCAGTCTCTGACCACTTCCTCTAGTATGTCTGCAGTCTCTGGCCATTTCCTCCAGTATGCCAGCTGTCTGACCATTTCCTCCAGTATGCCAGCTGTCTGACCATTTCCTCCAGTATGCCTGCTGTCTGACCATTTCCTCCAGTATGCCTGCTGTCTGACCATTTCCTCCAGTATGCCTGCTGTCTGACCATTTCCTCTAGTATGACTGCACTCTCTGACCATTTCCTCTAGCAAGTCTGCAGTCTCTGACCATTTCCTCGCAACTTCCTTTTGCCTCCCCTCCCCTGAACGAAGTTCTCCCCCCTGCCCTCCACAAATCTATACTTACTGAGATTTGAGGGCCACTGCTCTGCTGTTTGTTGACATCCAGCACTGCAAGCATCCCTCTGCTGGTAGTGTCCATCTCCCAGGCAGGAGATGAGCCCATAGAAGTCTACGGGGCTCTAATGTGCAGGTGTGGCCAGCAGAAGCAGCATTACACTGGAATGTAAACAATAGAGGAACTGTGCCCGTCGGATCTTGAGAAGTACGGATTTAGGGGGGAAGGGAGAACGTTTAGGTCTGGGGTGGGCGGCAAATAGGATATGATAACTTTGTTTCAAAGTGCACTTATTCTTCAAGAGAGAGATATAACATAAGCAAGAAATCTGCTCTGTGTAAAAGATTAAAAGATGCTTTTCTATAGAGGGACTGCAGAAAAGAGATGACCAGTTCACACCTTTATCTTTCTTTCCAATGGAAAAGCAGCCCGGCACTAGTGCAAATGCCATGTTTATGCCCATTGAACTACGATGACTCACAGCAAAGCAGGAGAAAAAAGTAATGATTGATGCTCAATGGAAGCTGAGATTGTTCTCCTGGTACAGTCCTGCTCTAAAGAAAATGTTCAAATGTATGTTTCCTGAGTCATAAGAACGCCATACAAATGCTAAGTTCTTTCACATAAAAGATTTCAGTCTTTCAAAAACTGTAATATGTCATACGGCCATAAATACGGGGATGCAAGGAGCACTCACTGGTTTTCTTTATTACAATAATCTGCTATTTTATTGTATTAGAGCGACGTCTATTTATTGATCCCCTTCATCATTGGTATGCTTTGCCTGATGAAGGGGATCCTTTGTGACACCGAAACGTTCGTTGCTATTTTTTGCTGTGCTGCACGTCAATAAATAGACGTTTGCTTGCCAATTTGGTGTGCCGGTGTCTCTGTTTCTGCTTATAATATAAAGGGAGGACGTGTAGGAAATGGCTGCACACACTATCAGTGTCATTACCTTACAAGTCCCTGGCTCTGTGCAGGGCTGTCAGTCCGTCCACTCGGCCATCACCCCCCCCCCCCCCCCCCCCCACCCCCCCCCCCTCT